CCTTTAACCATCGTGTAATTTAATTAGTATAATGAATAAATAAAGAGTTGACAGTATAGTGAAGTGATATTACATACATTACCAAAACCCTAAGATTGGGCTATTTGAATGGATCTAGAGATGCGGAATCCTTGTTACAATGTTCACACGCCCAAATATTATTAGTACAAAGAAAATTTATTCACATCAAATAAACCCACTTCTGTAAGAAAGAGACGACAACATATTATATAAACAGTGTAGCTTTAAGTAATGACTGCCAACTGTCTGTCTGGTAGAGTTCCGCATAGAGAGGGTGAAGATGTTACTGGCAGCAAGTCCGCATTACAAGCACTTAAGCATCAGCGAAAAAAAATCTGCCCACAAACGAGACACAATTTAGTTTATCGAACACTGCAGTTGGCGCGTGGGACAGGTTGTAACTTATTATGCAAATTACAAGGTTCATTACAAATTAGGTTCGTGCAAATTAGGTTCGTGTACTTGGCGATTATCACATTATTAAAATACTCTTTACGTCATATACAGTAGTGCTTTAACTAAAAATATACACTCTGTGATCAAAAGTATCCGAACACGTGGCTGAAAATGATTATCAGTTCGTGGTACCCTCTATCAGTAATGCTGGAATTCAATAGTGTGTTAGCCTACGCTTAGCATTGAAGACAGCTTCCATTCTCGCAGGCATACTTTCAATCAGGACCTGGAAGATTTCTTGGGGAATGGCAGCCCATTCTTCACGGAGTTCTGCACTGAGGAGAGGTATCGATGTAGGTCGGTTACGCCTAACACGAAGTCGGCATTCCAAAACATCCCAAAGGTGTTCGATAGGATTCAAGTCAGAACTCTTTGCAGGCTAGTCCATTACAGGGATTTTATTGTCGTGTAAGCACTCTACCACAGACCGTGAAGTATAAAGATGAGCTCCATCGTGTTGAAAGATGGAATCGCCAACCCCGAATTGCTCTTCAATAGTGGGAAGCAAGGTGTTTGAAAAATCAACGTAGGCCTGTACCGTGATAGTGCACACAAAACAAGGGGTGCGAACCCCCTTCATCAAAATCATGACCACACCATAACACCATTTTGGACGTGTCCGGATAATTTTGATCACATAGTATAACTTGTACTTACCCCAAAAGAATGAAAGTATACATGCCACGTGAAACACACCCGCATGTCATGGGGAACACAAGCGATTTTTTGTGAACTTTGCTGTGACGTAAATATATTAGACGTATTTATATTAGATCTACACTGATTTTAACTTAGGCATTAAGTTGATTGTGCCAATATATTAATCTATTTTTAATGTACATGGTTACATTAATTTCTATGTACAATACAGTAATTTACATTAAATTGAAAGACATGTCTGGCAGTGCATGGTGCAACATTGGTTGAAGTTCGTCGCGGCCGGCAGCGCGTTTCTCAGAATTTCTCGCACGAAGCACACATGCGAAGAAACGGAAGGTCAAAGCTGCGACCTACCACCTAGTGACACGGTCGCCATCAGGAACTAGTGATTGAATTGATTTTGCCTTATTTTACGTGACGAGACTCGGGCCATCAGGCCCGCTCTTCCGTCTGACCACGCAAATCGCACTCGTACCACTACGCCACAGAAGCCCCGCCTGGTCGGACTCGGGCGAAGGTATAAAACGCTAAATGCCCGATTTATGTAAAAATACCCTCAACAATCAAAATATCCGTTAGAAACTCCCAAAGCCTCCAGTACGTTAAGATCAATCATAGAATATCAATTTAGAAGAAAATAAACCAAACTGTTCAGGCGCTAGCGTTGACTAAAGACAGACAGTCAAACGGACAGAGGGACATTCGCCGTCAATCAATTTTTCGGAATCATAAGCCAACAAAACATGGATTCTGACAACACCATGAGGTAGACGATAATTTTTCTAAATTTAGCAATAGGATGTGTACACTTTTCCGTTACCAGAACTTGGCAAAAATGATGTTTCTGGCGAAGTTTTGGCGTTTTCTGACGCACGATTACATAACTTTCTCTTCGTAATGGGTAAGAATTCGTAAGGCGAGAAAGTAAAAAGCGTGAATACAGCTCTGATAGCGCAGAGCAAATGGCTGAGAATAAAATGTTTCTTCGAAGCATCAATCTGTCAAACTTCGCCTTAATGTTCTAAAATACCTCAGTAAAGAGGATAGTAAAGTATACTATAACGTTTCGGAATCCGATCTTTCTTTCTATTATCAGACATATGTGGGCTCACCGTACACCTATCTTTAATGTGTCTGATCTCTTTGTTGCGCAGCATTGGTCGCGTTACCAGTATCTGGAGAGATATCATCGGGAGATTACGTGTGGTAGTGAGAGAAATGTACAGCTGCGCATGTGCAAATGTGACACAATTCATGCCTGGGTTTGACCATTTACTGCTGCATTGATCTTGCCACCCTTAACATTTAATGCTGTTAATTCGCAAAAATAGATAATATTTCATTAACTGCTTTTATGTAAGAAAGTTAAGAAAGATGGAAAGTTTAAAACAAAATATTATTACCACTAAATTTACTAAAATCCTTACTGTAATGATAATAATATCACCTAAGCGAAGGAAAGTAATTTTCTTCAAAATATTGTATAAAATGTAATTTTATTGAGATAATTCTCTCAATGCTCTGAAAACGTTCTTAGGTACTTAAATGTAATATAACCAATTGAAGTATTTTTGTCGTTAATACGCCTTGTTAAGATCATCTTGAAAACTTAATCCAAAATAATAAGCGAATATATTTCAAATCAAATTCCATAAAATATATTGAAATTTACATTTAAAGTCTTAAAACGCTATGAAAATGCTCCTCTTTAACTTATCTCTTTAAAATTATTGTTAGAAAAACACTTACAGATACATTTATAGACAAAATATAAGCATGATGCACTGAAGGTAACACGAATACAATTATTTAAATTTATGTTTATGCAGTAACAATCAGCAGAAAAAGTTTGTGGAATGACGTACATAGTTTAGTCCCTGATGTACTGTCGAAGTGGTGAAAAAAATTCAAAATCAAACACGTGGAAGAGGCGCCGTTATTGCAAGGAATGGCATACAGCTTAGTATTAAATTGGGTTAAATTCGGGTGACGCCGCGTCTATGGCGAAGGTGCCGACGTTTCGGTCGCCATTCTGAGACCTTCCTAAGGACGTAATGCCTTACGTAAGGCATGGACGCGGTCACCCGTACAGCCATTTGAATACTGGCTCCGGCCGCGGAAGGCTACGCTCTGCCATACAGCTTACGAATTTCCCAGTAGTGTTCGTTGTACTATGAAATATTTATAGGTATATGTGAGATCGGCTCAGACTGTAGGCTCTGGTGGGCCTCGGTTCTCGGGAGGAAACAGAATGAAAAGGTGCGTGGAGTGGATAGGGACGAGTTTTTTGACGTGTTTTTCGAGCTCTTCTCAAGAAGACGAAGAAACTACCTACGATGGATAAACGATCATCCACAACTTGCGCTCAACCATTGAAGGACTCATGCGGTTTCGTCTCAATTAAGACGTTTTCATTGCGTGTTGTGGCATTACTACAAACTTTTACAATTCTTACACACAGACATCTTAAAGATAGATAGTTATTAAATATTGTAGAGCAGAGTTAGGCACGGCTTTGCCAGATCGGGCCAGCGGGATCAGCCGCTTACTGCCACAGCTCCGGAAGGCGACACAGCTCATTCAACAGAAGAAATATCGCTGGAAGCGTGATAGGGAAACAACAAAAGACAGAAGAAGCAAGATTTCACGAGCATTTTACAAGGCTGACGTGTATGCAGTAGTGCCGTAGATATTGAACTTGTCCTGCTTAATTTTTAGATGAGCTCCATCTCTCATGCGTGGCTGGAGCGGTCATCAAGACCCGTCCGCATTAAGGACAGGAGGAGCGGGCTCTGGGGGGAACGTCTACGAGATTTTCGATATCTCGCGCACGCGTCACTCGCACTCGTTTCGCAGACAAGTGGATCCATCCGCACAGCTGTCAGCTCAAATCAATCGTGTCAGGTGTTGACGACGAGCGCGGCGTTGGGAGCGGGGCAGAGCAGGGTGGGGGTCTTGGGGCGGAGCGGGGCAAGGCGGGGCAAGGCGTGGCGGGGTGGGGTGCAATGCGGTGGGTCTGGCCTGGGCGGAGCCGGGACGGAACGGAGGGAGGGCCGGAGCAGGGCGGGGCGGCAGAGCGGGGCAAAACAGGATGGGATGCGACGCAGAGAGCAGGGCAGTGGGAGCGGGGCGGAGCGGGCGCCGGGGCGCGGGGTGCGGCGGAGGCCGCCGATCGAGCTGAAGTTGTTTTCATGTCGCTGTGACTTTGTGCGGGTTGACCGTTGCAGCAGACGAGAGATGTAGCTTTTTCGTAAAGCGCTTTCCTAATTCGATCCATTCACTTCATGGCGGTTGGGGCAGCTGTCGTCCTAATGTCCGCGATTGTTGGCTGAGTGTCATTGACACCATTTGTTGGTGGAAGCAGTGAAAGTACTTTCACTTGTAGTGAGAAGCGGATGAATAGAGTTAATAGAACATTCAAAATTGGGGTTCATTGAAAAGCATTCCTAGTGGTAAGGAACTCTCATATATAATGTTTAAATTCAAATTATTCCCTCCTGTTTAATTCATATAAATTTTATCGAATGATATTTATTCACATGGCAAGAAAATGTTGCCAATTTAATATGTATACAAATTGTTTTTTTTAACATTTCACCGCATATTTAAAAGTACAACTTTCCCGTAGAGCCCCTCATGTCTCTTAGAAACAACACTGAACCCTTATAACTATCTTTATGGCGATTCACAAACGTGCCTATCATTATTTTACCAATCAGCATCAATAAAGAAAGTTTAATTTCTCACGGCTATATTTAAATAAAATTACTACTGGTGTGAGGGTTTTGCATTTCACTTAACTCCAATTTCATATTATTTTAGGGAGCAATGGCATCAATACATAGAAGTATAACTATTTACAAATGCACAAGGTAATTCTAAACATTAAAAGTTAAATATAAAATGAAGGGTTTGTGGCAATATCAGGATAAGTCACACCACTCACAGGAAGTTCCCATTATACAAAAAAAAATATTACTTTCTTGATTGTGGTCAAAATTTGTCGTATATTGCAACTACTCCAAGCTCATCAATTAAAAATTAAACGTGAAGAAATGTCACAAATAATTGAAAATTGAAAATAATTTGTAGTAAATGCTGAATTACGTTCAAAACCGTTTTATAAAAATTCAACATTTGTGTTCAAAATATGATTAATTGTGCAGTGTTACGACCCCCCACTTACATTACTTTTTTATGTTACGATAATTATTCTTATTACTATCTTCGTTTGATGTGTTTTGAATGTTCTATGGTTCTTTGAGCCGAGGAAGAAAATGAAAGGTTTTTGATGTGATTTTGTGTATTCCGCTGTGCTGGATTACGTTCATGGCATATGGAAGGTACAAAATTTATTGAATTTAAAACGGGTGAAGTGTAATAATAACTTAGAATTTAGAGAATTGTACTATTTGGATGCCACGAGAGTGCATCGATCCTTTACACTCAGAATTGGTGAGCGTAATTAGACAGATTAATAACTTGGATAATGAACTCCATTTGAATGTATCAAACGTGTCTCGAGAGAAAATTGAACACAAATAATATAAGTTTGTTTGGAAATGATGAATCAATAATTTTATTAAAGAAATTTTTTTACACTAACTTTTAGAGGTAAGTCATCTGAACATTACATGTCATTGGTGAACGTAACATTTAAATTTTGAAACGTGACGACTTGGGCTTAACTTCAGAGACAGCAAAAATGGAGCAGAGTATATGAAGGTAGAAACCATACTATGCTTATACGATTCTTAACTCTCAAGGCAGTGTTGAAATGAGTTTTGTAATATCTCGTACTAATGTGAATGTTGCCCTCGTGTTAGTGGGTAGGTAGGAACAGGATCTAATTACATAAGAAACTTCTTTCCCCTACTTTTAGTAATTTCCTTTTCTCACATAATCACACATTCTGATATTACTTCTCCATTTTCCCATTCCCCATCTATATTGCCTTCTATTTGTTAGTTTCTCTAGGCTCTTGGGGATAAAAAAATTGATCTAACCAAATTATCTTATTAAGACTATGCGTTTCCCCTTTTCTCCTCTATTACTCACTACTACATATTTTCTTATTTTTCGGCCCTTTCAGAGTTTTCTCCTCAACCATGTTTAAACGTTCCATAAATCATTCATCGTTCTCTTTCATCGTTTACGAATTATAATCTAACATCTAATGAAAACAACGAATGAGAAAATATTCTTCTCACATCGATTGCAAAACTTTTCAAATGTGCCGTCAAAATATTTTTGCTTTCTTACAAAAATGCGAATATTTTCTATTATTATTATTATTATTATTATTATTATTATTATTATTATTATTATTATTATTATTATTACTATTATTATTAATAACAATAATATTTGTATTGTTATGACTACGCGCCTGTGTGAATTGGGTCGCAAACAAGCGAGAGCGCGCGCTCTATACAGAGCCGCGAGCGCCAGCGGCGCAGCGGATCACGCTTCACCGGAGCCGGGGTGGAGGGCGAGTCTTCGCCAGAGGCGGCGTGGGGATATAAATTCGGGCCCGCACGCAAGAGTCCCGGTATGCAGTCAGTACAGTCAACGTCCAGTGCAGTCCTAGCGCTGCAGAAGACGCCGGGTCGTGGCAGCAGGAGCGCGTTAGCGTGGGGGTGACGTGGGTGGGAGAGCCACAACCGCCTGCAGGACGAGCGCCGCGAGGAGACGGCTCCACGTTGGGCCACTAAGCCGGACCGACCGTGGCAGGACAGCGCGGAGGACGACCTCGCGCGGGGACTCGGGGCCCAGGCGAGCAGGCAGCTCGCCTCACGTGGAGGCCAAGACTCGTGTTCAGGAGCGGGCAAGGTGACCAGCTCGTCAACGCAGTGCACGCGCAATGTCAAAGAGAGAAGAATCAATAGAGCGGCAGAAGCCCTCTTAACAATGGCATGTTGTAATTGCGGAAGGTTCCTTTTGGTGTAGAAAATGAAGTTGAATAAATCTTAACGTTTATTTCGGGGACATAACAATTACGATTATTATTTATATTGCGACTAAGATGTCAATTGTCGGCTAAATATAAAATATACTCCAGGTTACACCCACCTACCTATGGAGCAGATCTAGTGACTGCCGGTGCCTCTACTTCACTTTGCGCAAAACATGGGCTGGTTCAAATAAAGAAATTTCTTGCACTTTCCAGTCTTTTGAATGACCTGGAAGTTTATCCACGTTGTTTTTTTGTGGAACAAAATTTGTGGAAAAAATCCCAGAGCTTCAGTGACTATCGGTACGACCTCTGCTTTTACGCCCCACATTCGACGATTTCGATTTCCAAACACTTGTGTTTAAGACATTTCTCTGCCTCTTTGGTTACGACGTTTTTATCGCAAGGCACAGCAACAGCTACAAGTAGACACGATTTTTTTCTCCAAACCCAGGGTAATAATATCGTTTTTTTTGCTGCTATCGTGCAATCCGTTTGAATTTATTGGTCGTACAATATTGTATAGAGTCCAACATGTCACCGGTTTTGGTGAATGTTCGTACCACTTGGGGCATGTGGTTGGAACTTCGAGGGCGGTACTGATCTGCAAATGGAGGTAACTACACACCGTGTCGTGTCTTTTACAAAATTCGGTTCTTGCTAGAATTGGACAAGCTGAGATGATATCATCAATGGTTTCTACTTGTTCCTGGCAGATGCGGCATTTATCATCTTTGAAAATTTTGAGAACCGCTTTATCATAAAATTAAGAATAAATATTATTGGTGGAAGTGGTAGTGGTGGTGGTGGTGGTGGTGGTGGTGGTCGTGGTGGTGGTTATGGTAACGTAATAATTGACTTAATTATAGTCCAAATTCACAGGACCTATTTAATATATAAATCGGCTTTGAGGCTATATTCTAAATATTCTACGGATAAATGTTTTAACCCTGGCTTGTTAGTTTGGCATGGCATTCCGCAGGTGGCAAACTCTGAGTACAGGCGAAGGTCCCCACGCACTCTGCAGCATCTGCGGGCGGAACAGCGCAGTCCACCTGGAATAACCACTGACCCACCCGCCCGGTACAGCGACGCCCGGAATAGCTTACTGGCTTCGCTTTCAGCTCCCACCGGCCACTTCCAAAGCAAATTGCCGTACTTCCTCCGCTTCTTGCAAGCTTGTAACTAAACCTTGTTACAGCATCTATTCCAAGAGCCTCGACTCGTGGGGCACCGTCTGCCCTCCCCTGACGGTGAGAAATCCGCTCTGCAAGCATAATTATTCTCGCACATCCAACGTAACATAATGAAAATAAACCTTAATTTTTGAAGCAGTGATTACTTACGAAATGCTTGCTCCGTCTACCTTTCGCTGCTCCTGGGTTCTCTGACTTCTTTAGGGGACGCGCACTTGCAAGTACTTGTATAACAATAATGATCATGGTTTGATGAGTGATGGAGCAATGATAGCTAGATGTTAGCGTTACAGATTTAACTGAGCTGTAAATCAGGTTGGGAATATCCAAATGAGGACTTCAGTCGGTTCACCTCAATAAAGTAATAAAAAATCTGAGTTGTTTCAATCTTTTTAAAAATAGTTCCAATACTATATCAGGAAAAATTGGATAGCAGCACCTATTAAACGTTGCTTGCTTTGGCAGTGATATGAGACCATTTTAAATCATAGCCATTCCTTTGCCTAAGTACATCAATCCTATCACTTGTACTACGTAAAAAAATGATATTTTAAAATAACAATATATGTATTGCATATATTAAAAGATATTACTGTGTAAATAATTTTGGTTTTCCACCAATTCAGATTCAGAACAATGATCATATGAATTTGGAAAAACCGTTTAAGACAAAAGTCTGATTCTTTGTGGCTCTCTCCACCTCGCGTAAATAGGGCTTTTTAGGACTGTTATAATCATCGTTCGGGCACATTAGGAAAGCGGTTAACACTTATTGGGTTGAAACGAATGTCCGGCACACCAATGTGCGGTCGGTTGGCTTTGCGGCGAGCGTGTTGCAGCTCACGAATTGCCTTGAAATGAAGCCGTGGGACTACGGCATATTGGAACATACAAATTTACAAAGGGCGCTTCATTTTTGTCAATGCTGATTGACGTACCACAGTTCTAAGACTAAATGGTTTAGATGAACCGGACGGGCTTACGTCCAAAATTATTACTTAGTTTTTTCTTTTAGGAATAGAGAAACTTTGTTTCTTCAGTAACACTAAACATTCGATTTAAAATGTTTGCAAGTAACACTTGTCATTAACTTCTTGTATTGCAAAATAGACATAACTATCTGGACTTTAAAATGCATTTTTCAAAAACCAAATTAAAAACTTCATATATATTTAACTCCATATTTCTGAAATATTCACGTAAGCAACTATATTTGTTTTCTAATTACGAAGAAAAACCTCTTCTTTTGCGCTCATTTTCTCAAACCGAAGACTTAGTTTAGAAGATAACCTTTGAACTAAGTAAATGGAATTTTTTGGCACACAGGCGACCAAATTAATTAAAATGTGACACCTTGCTTAGATCTCATTAAGTTTCGCTACTCTTTGAAGGTATTGAAGAAGAAAAGAGGATACGTATCAAACTTCCCGCCTTCGAGATGGTTACATTTTGGCCAAAAACCTGCGAACACAAGCAATAAAAACTTTATTTTATCTCAAGCTCTTTGATATAGTCCTTCAATGCTTCAAAAAGTGGCCGGTAGATTGTACGACCGCCTGGCCTGCCGGCGACGAAAAAATTGCAAATTGTAGAAATCATCTAACCAATATTTCGCAGCTTCAACAGAGTTTATTATATTTTCAAGGAAATTAAAACGGTCAGTATTTACAATGTGAACAAAATAAAATGGTTTACCTACATAACTTTCTTCTTTCTTCTATCTTATTTGAAATTACTGCTTTTTTTAATTAATTTAACAAATAGTAATTTATTTTATCCAAGAGTAATGTTAAAAAAACAGTTTAAAATTTCATGTTTAAGTTATAAACCTGGTTCCTTTTGAACCAATACGTACTGCTCTACTGTCCCCAATTAAAAAAGCGAAAAAATAAGAAATGTTATACAATTTAATAAATAGTAATTAGCAACATTTTAGTTGACTGCGCTTCAAACAATTTTTTATTTGAATGTTTTTTTCATTAATAGAAGACAGGTAATAAATGCCCAAAAGGTAGGATATAAAACTGATTTAAGTTGAAAGATATAACAATTTAAAAATTTTCAAAATTGTCAAAGCGATAGATACATCGACGTCCTTAAAAGAAAGATAACTATTTTATTAGAGTTTGCAACTTTTGCGCACTAACTCGACTGGTGCACGTTTTAGCGCTGAGAGCAGGACGATCTGAATTTACCCGTACAAGTTCCCCGGCCTCGTATTCAGCCGAATATACAAAGAAAGCAAAAACATTTCATCTGCAGGAACAATACCCTTCTAGAGAAGAATAGTTGAAACTAACAAGAGAAAATATTTTGAATGCCTTTCTCGGAAATATAGGTAAGGCATTTCATGGAAGATACCTTACTGTCTAAATACAGAAAATTCATGACTGATTTGTTAAAGTAACTGAAAATGAATCTAATATGTGCAAATAGGACCTTGAAATCAATAAGAGTGAGGTTTTTCAAGAAATGAAGAGAATATTTTAAGGAATTTAATGCAACCCGTTAGAGAGGAAAAAAGCCTCTTTCATTCCTCTACAAAAGCCTCTACAAATTACAGTATTGCAGGGTACAGGAACTGATAAATAATTTGGCGTTTTAGCAGATAACAATCAATCTCTAAAGATAATAGAATTTCAATTGGCAATAAAATACAGCCTGCAAACCATCATTTAACCATATTACAAGAAGAATCAGAATTGCATTTTGGAATGAAATCTCGCTATATTAAAACGAAACGCGTCAATACCCACCCATAACAGAATTGATTCGAGTGCATTTTTCTACACATTAACACGAAAAGTAGTCCAACAAAATTGAAATTCGAGTACTTCTTCCTACGAAGACAATGAAATACAATTACACTTGGGGAAACAGGAATGAAGAGTTTTTACAATTTATAATCATTTAAAATTGTTCTCTTCACCTTAATCCTCGATCTTATCATACCTTTCATCTTGTATTTGAATATGTAGAAACGGTGACGCTTATAGAATTCAGCTTAATTTCAGATTGTGCTGATGTGTTTTCACGGGTGCTATACATAACTTAACTTATGCCAGGAAACGTAAGCTTCATCGTTAGCACTAAGGGTGTCTTCGTAAATGGTAAAACAAGGGAGGGACGAACGCAAACGGGGGACAAGGACAACAGATTTACTCACGGACAACGAGAGAGACGCTAGATCACGTGTTGATTGACGAAAGTTATGAGACATAAAATAATTTAATATTTTTGTGAACGCTTATCACCTTTGAAAGCTAAAGTCGTTTAAATCATAAGTTTTTTCTAAGATTTTATAATTTTGGAGAAGGATTTTTTTTGATTTACAATTATTTATTCAGTACACATTGATACACTTTCTACAAATTTACAATTTTACAAAGATCACAGGTGTATGAACTAAAATATTTATTTTAGTGGCAGCAAATTTATTATGCTTTTTATAGATATTTCCGCGCAAACATTTTCAAGTTTGCTCCAATCAACTGAAAATTGAATTCATGGCGGGTCCACTTTAATTTGACATAACAACAAAGATTTTCTTTTCTGAGACGAGTGAAAGCAATTCACAGAAGATGTCTTTGATCACAATTTGAAATGTTTTCTTCTTTTCAGTACATAAACTGCTGTTCCTAACGTAGATGAAGTCATCATGCAAATATCTCATAAATGTAAGAAAAATACTAATTTTTATTTATTGATTTTGGTTCCTGTATATGAGACAAACAAACGACTCAAGATTTTTATTAAAGAATAAATAAAATATTTATTGAAAACTGAACTTTCTTGATTGCCTCAAATACACAAGAACCAAAAATGAATAAATTGATACAAACAAATAAACAATCATTTTAAACATGAAATCTTATATACCAATTCTATTTATAGCACACTTTCATTAGGAAATCTTCTATATTCAATTTCATAAGCTGGTTAAAGTAGTGTTTGCGTTTTCTCTGTAAGTTTATGCTATACTTAAACTAGGATTTGCAACGATTCAAAAAATTCCAATCTCTTGTCGTTCACCTATCCAGTTGCCAGCGACATTTCCGCTTTTAAATGACCTCGCTTGCGCACCACACCTGGGACCTCCGAGTGGCCGTGCCCGCTGGAGAACGGGCAGGAACACGGCTACCCGAGCGGGCAAAACCATGCCCACGTCTGTGGTAAAATATGTATACATAAAGCAGTGGTGGACCTACGGCCAAGGGGGCTACATCTCACCCCAAACAAGTGAATGTTACTTATTCAGAAGAACATTTTGTACTGATTATAAATCGTAACGAAATTCATGTAACGTATTAATTCAATACGTTATAAATAACTATGAATCAAAACAAATATAATTCACTTAATTGGTTAAAAATTATTTACAACAAACATTAAGTGAGTCGGACCTTGCAGATAACGTGCTTAGCTTCCCGCCCAATAGCAAAATCCTCGGTGCGCCTCTTAAATAAACAACAGAGAGGGAAACGAAATACAACGTAGGAGAAAAAAGACGCAAATGGGGCTGAGGGGAAGCGAAGGGCCTGGTCGGGGGCGGCGCGGAGGCGGCGGCCGTGCGGCGGGTTGCGCGTGCGTTGCGCCTGCCAGCGCAGCGCCGCCCTGCTCCGCGGGTTGCGTCGCGTCGGGCGGCCCGGCCGCCTAAGGATTAATCTGGGCTCTGCCCCGGAAGATGTTCAGAGAGGTTGGTTGTTGGATGCGGTGGTGAGGCTCTTGACAAATGAGCAGGGTTGTGTAGAAGCCGCGTGGGAAGGAGAGTAACAGGTGTGGTCACGAGGGGGCGCGAGGGGACGGCGGTCGGCGGGGGCGGCGGGGGCGGGCGGGGGGCGGGGCGGGGCGGGCGGCGGCGGGGCGGCGGGGGCGAGGGGACAGCGCGGAGGCGGAGCGGGCGGCCGGGCCGGAGCTGGCTTGTGACGTGTTGGGCGCGGGTTGGCTCCACTATAGCTGCGGGCGCGCCAACGCCGCCGTTGTGGGGTGGAGGGGCGCAGGCAGTGGGGGCGGGGCGGCTGACGGCGCGCGCAGCCTTCGCTAGCCAGCGCTCCCCTCGCCTGGCTCTTGTTGCTCGTTGGCACAGCGGCAAATTTACTCGCTCTTTTGTATAAATACGCACGTTAATGAACAGGTTGATACCTCGCCACATCTTCGGAACGCCATTCGTAGACGAGACGAAGAACGGGGGAACGGGACGAAAAGAGAAAAAGCGCGATGCACACTAACGAGAAGGGAACGTCAGAGTAACGTTATTTGGCGGTGGAAACACGGAATGGAGTTCTCGCTGATTAGACGTTAAATGGCAACAAACACCTGAGCCGTTCAGAAGCATGAAGTCAAATCTCTAAAGAACTGCTCCAATTAGCAACTATAAGTGCGTTATGTCGCGCAGATAAATACTTGAGTTCGTGGATATTCGTTTTGGCAGAGAAAAACCGAAAAAAGTGAAAAGTGAAGCGATTTCTACTCTCAAGGGCAGCAATACCCCTTTCGTGATAAATATAGTGTTCTTCGTAAAAGATATCAATAAACAATATTTTTCATTAACTAGTTATCATCTTATACAAATAACGTAGAAGTAAACGTTAGAAAACAATTTTGAACATATGTGTATATCACCATATTAAAGTCAACATTTGACATTGAATCTGTTTTGAATTGAACTTGAATTTAATCTGTTTTGAATTGAATTTAAGAAATCTGTTTTTTATTCATTTTTCAAGTCTGGCTGGTCTATATTATTTGGTCCTGATGGTTTACAGACAAAAATTTCAAATTTCAAATTAGAGTATTTGTAGATTAAAATCTCTTTACAGAAATCTATAGAAAATAAATTTTAAAAATATCCCAAGTATGTAGCATAGAGGCATGATCCAAATAAATGATAACAGAAATTTTTTCTAGCAAGGAAAGCGTTACGCGGTATGAAGCCATAAACGTTTTCAAAATATTCATGAAAGTTTGAATCATGTAGAAAGAGTGGAAAATGTAGAAATGAGAAGAGAAAAGAACTCTCCC